CCTGCTACTATGCCAGGAGCTCAGTCTGTTTGTTTTATTTCAAATGATATAGATTGAGAGTCATTTTGATGTCTGAAATTTTGTCCCAGAGATTAGTAGAGCCCAGTCCTTTCTCTAGGAATGCACAATTTACCAACAGAGTTCAAAAGTCAAAGTAGATTCAGAGAATGATGCAGTAAAGGCAAATAAAGAACCACCAAGACACAAAGGCAGAGAGCGCGGGGTTAGTTCTGCTTGGTGGTCAAGAAATCTTCAAAGACTTGAGAAGATTTTCTCATCTCCGTCTTCTCAACCAAAACTAAAAGCAATTATTTAAAAGAGGCAACTGAGATCCACCACCTGCAATTTGGTTCCTCACGGTTCACAGCAGAATTCATTCTGCTGAGTTCTGTGCTCTGTGAGTTCCATGACTTAAAAGGGACTGTGTTGTGAAGGGAGGCAGCAGTAATCATGGATATCACTACCACCTTGAGGTCTCTAATCCCAACTCCCTCCAGCTAAATGTATTTCTTTAGAAATATTTAAAAAAAAACAATCAGAAACTGAAGAACCAGTTCCTTCAAGCCCCAGGGATCCCAACCTTGCCAAATGTAAATTAGAAGAGGATGGATTTGGAACTCCAGGAAGCTAATTGGAGCCCTGGGTAGAAATCCTAAAGGTAGTAGGTAATTGGCACCTTGTCCTTCTCAGTATAGATACTGCCCATGAGAGGGTTACCTCTAGGGTGCTGGTTGATTAGCATCCTTAAAAGACAGGGCAGTTAAGTAAAGATTGGTGACCTGAAGAGTCCCATGTACCCAATTCAAGGGTCCCCACCAACCAGAGAAAAACTGTTTTCATATGGTCCAGTGAGGGACACTCTTCGGGCAACAGTATCATAAACAGCTCCATTAAATGAAGCAAAACTTCATTATCAGGTTTTCTTGCTTAAAAAAAGCAACATAAGATTAAATTATCACTAGAGTTAGAAAATACATTTTTAATTGAAACCAAACTAATTTGATTTGCCTTTGGCTAATATTTATTCAAGAGAAACTCTCTTTCTGAAAATTATTATACATTTGAGAGCTATGTCCAGTTTGTTTAGGACTAGGTAAAATGAACTACACTGAGAAGAGAGATGTTAACATTTTATGATCAAAAATAATTGCACAGAAGTGAGAGTCTAGATATTTAACTCACAAGAGAATCAATTGTTCTTTTTTTATTTCTTTTATTATTATTATTATTATTATTATTATTATACTTTAAGTTCTAGGGTACATGTGCATAACGTGCAGGTTTGTTACATATGTATACTTGTGCCATGTTGGTGTGCTGCACCCATCAACTCGTCAGCACCCATCAACTCGTCATTTACATCAGGTATAACTCCCAATGCAATCCCTCCCCCCTCCCCCCTCCCCATGATAGGCCCCGGTGTGTGATGTTCCCCTTCCCGAGTCCAAGTGATCTCATTGTTCAGTTTCCACCTATGAGTGAGAACATGCGGTGTTTGGTTTTCTGTTCTTGTGATAGTTTGCTAAGAATGATGGTTTCCAGCTGCATCCATGTCCCTACAAAGGACACAAACTCATCCTTTTTTATGGCTACATAGTATTCCATGGTGTATATGTGCCACATTTTCTTAATCCAGTCTGTCACTAATGGACATTTGGGTTGATTCCAAGTCTTTGCTATTGTGAATAGTGCTGCAATAAACATACGTGTGCATGTGTCTTTATAGCAGCATGATTTGAGAATCAATTGTTCTTAACTGGTGATAAAGTTTGGATCTGTGTCCCTGTTCAAATCTCATGTTGAATTATAATTTCCAATGTTGGAAGAAGAGGCCTGGTGGAAGCTGATTGGATCATGGAGGCAGTTTCTTGTGAATGGTTTAGTATCATCCCCTTGGTGCCTTGGTGCTGTTCTCATGATGGTGAGTTTTCAGGAGATTTGGTTGCTAAAAAGTGTGTAGCATCGGTCCTCTCTCTCTCTCTCTTGCCCCTACTCCCACTGTGTGAGATGCCTCGCTAACCCTTTGCCTTCTGCCATAATTGGAAGCTTCCTAAGGCCTCCCCAGAAGCAGAAGCCACTATGCTTCCTTTATAGCCTGCAAAACCACGAGCCAATTAAATACGTTTTCTTTATAAATTACCCAGTCTCAGGTATTTCTTTAGAGTGGTGCGAGAATGAACTAATACAGCTAGTGATGCTGGGATTGCAAGGGAGCGGTAGGCCAGAACTGCTGAATCCAGAAAGAAAGAGAGAAATTAAAGAACAAAGTCCCCTGGCCCGCAGGGAAACCCAGTGGAATGCTATCAATTCCAAATAACCATGCTCCTGTACACTCTCAGGCACTTAACCATTTTCACATCCCAAAAATCTTATTCGAAGTAGACTAGTTAAGTCTTATTATCTTCATTCTACAGATGAAAAGTAAAGTTTGGAGAGTTTAAATGACTTGGCTGTCATCACACAGCTTGAAGATGGCAAATTTTGGCCTCATTCCAAGTCTTTTGATTCCTAGTCTGTAATTTTTCTCCATACTACACTGCCTCTATATTAGAGCTGAAAAGATTATTCCAGAAATATCTCTGGTGGAGTGCAGAGGGTCTTCAACCTGAATCAAAGGAGATTGGGGAAATATAGACAGCTTTTTTTTTTTCTTTTTAAAGAGAAATCCTCAAACTTACATGAAAGTAGAGAACTGGTATAATAATCTTCTGTATACCCATCACCCAACTCCAGCACCTCTCAGCAACCCACAGTTTCACTGGAGGCCTAGGGAGGGACCCAGTGGTGCTCAGGTAGAAAGGACCCAGCTTTTCCAAGACATAATGGAGCTCATGGTGGAAGAAGTCTTCAAGGGTCAGAGTGACTTGAAAGAGAAGAAAACTAGATATATCTGGAATAGACTGTGATTTAAACCTAAGTCTAGCTAAACCAAATAGTATGTTGTACCCAATGTGTATCATTCATGTGTGAATTCCAGGATTTCCTCATACACAAGCTGACACTTCAAAAAATAGCCCACGATGTCTATAGTATTGTAGGGCCACAGAGAGCATTGTGGCATTTATTACATGTCAAAATAAGAAAGGCCATGCCACATCACGCCTAACTTTTCCAAAGCTCCAGTAACATCCCATAGTTACCACTCCACTCCACTTTACCTCAATCTTCTACTTGGAAAACAACTTTCTATGTTTTATTTCTAAAATCTTTACTAGTAAAATGTGAAAACTAAACAATATCAAGAAAACGAATCCAACTTACAAGGGATGTAAAGGACCTCTTCAAGGAGAACTACAAACCACTGCTCAGTGAAATAAAAGAGGACACAAACAAATGGAAGAACAAACATACCCATCGCCATGGATAGGAAGAATCAATATTGTGAAAATGGCCATACTGCCCAAGGGAATTCTATAGATTCAATGCCATCCCCATCAAGCTATCAATGAGTTTCTTCCAGAATTGAAAAAACTGCTTTAAAGTTCATATGGAACCAAAAAGAGCCCGCATCTCCAAACAATCCTAAGTCAAAAGAACAAGCTGGAGGCATCACGCTACCTGACTTCAAACTATACTATAAGGCTACAGTAACCAAAACAGCATGGTACTGGTACCAAAACAGAGATATAGACCAATGGAACAGAACAGAGTCCTCAGAAATAATACCAACACTCTACAGCCATCTGATTCTTTGACAAACCTGAGAAAAACAGAAAATGGGAAAGGATTCCCTATTTAATAAATGGTGCTGGGAAAATTGGCTAGCCATAAGTAGAAAGCTGAAACTGGATCCTTTCCTACTCTTATACGAAATTAATCAAGATGGATTAGAGACTATGTTAGACCTAATACCATGAAAAATCCTAGAGGAAAACTAGGTAGTACCATCCAGGACATAGCAGTGGCAAAGACTTCATGTCTAAAACACCAAAAGCAACCCAGCAGCAAAAGCCAAAATTGACAAATGGATCTAATAAACTAAAGAGAGCTTTTGTACAGCAAAAGAAATACCATCAGAGGAACAGGCAACCTACAGAATGGGAGAAAATTTTTGCCAATCTACTCATCTGACAAAGGGCTAATACCAGAAACCTACAAAGAACTCAAACAAATTTACAAAAAAAAAACAACAACCCATCAAAAATGTGGCAAAGGATATGAACAGGAACATTTCTCAGAAGAAGAACATTTCATAAGCCAAACAGACACATGAAAAATTTCATCCATCACTGGCCCATGAGAAGAAATGCAAATCAAACCCACAATGAGATACCATCTCACACCAGTAAGCAAGCGATCATTAAAAAGTCAGGAAACAACAAGTGCCTGGAGAGATGTGGAAAATAGGAACACTTTTACACTGTTGGTGAATTGTAAACTAGTTCAACCATTATGGAAAACAGTATGGCGATTCCTCAAGGATCTAAACTAGATGTACCATATGACCCAGCCATCCCATTAATGGTATATACCCAAAGATTATAAATTATGCTGCTATAAAGGCACATGCATCACGTATGTTATTGGCGGATGTTTCGTCA